CGGGGTCCCCGTCAAAATCCTCCATGATCTCATGGCGTGTGTGCCAAGAACCCATGCACCACTCAGAGCTCCCTCCCCTGTGATTGATCGATCCCACACGACGACGAAGGAAGGATAGTAAAGAGGATGGGATATATGGAAAAAAGTTTCCTTCCCCTTCACGTGGCAATGGAACACCCGGCGCTCTTTTATTGCATGGAATTGTGAGCTTGCATGTGGAACATTGTAAAGGAGAAAAAGTTTCGTTGTCGAATGAGACATCCGAATTTTCGGTTTTCCCCAGGGTGCGTGGGGTCTGTTGATTTTTCCCTTTCCGTTGTTGCCCTTTTCCTCCCGGAGAACCGTTTCCTTCCGCGTGTCTGAATGTGAGGGGAAACATGGTTGAGGGCAATAATGTAGAGCTTGACTGATGAGCTTGGATGAACGACTGACAGCAATCTTCTTCCCCTGTTCATTTATCCCTTTCGCTCCATTATATTCTTGGCCCTAATGTGGTTTTCCTCTTTTCTCTGCATTCTCTTCACTCTATTCTACTCGTCACTTCACCTTCACTGGTTGTCATTTCACGAAGTTTGGAAAATGATTAATGGAGGCCTCAATGGCACCTCTCACAGACGGAATTGTTGCTGATTCATTGCAAAATAGATGGGAAATATCCAGTTCGATTGGTTTGTGAAAAGAAGCGATAGGGCTTCAGAGGAAGGAGATGTATGGGATTGAGAGAAGAGGTGAATGAAGTCTATCCAATCTCCCCTTGGGGGGGAACAGGGATTTCAATTGACATCGATCTGGAGAGTCTTCTCCTCTCCTTTCTTCCGAGAAGCCGCATCAAATCTTCTCCAGTGCCTTTCAGATCCGTTGGAATTTCGGGTAGAAGGATCTAATCAATTTTCCGAGTTCTGTATGGCTGTGTGGGACTGATTCGGTCATCAAAGAGAGGCGAAAAGTTTCATTATAGGCATTTGATCTTTCTTCTCTTCTAACTGAGAAGGAAATTATCGATAGGATGAGTAAAACGAGTGTTGGCAAGACTTTTTGCCATATAGAGTTTGATATTTTTCATGTAAGAAAGTCCGCAATCATAGCCGAAAGTCTATCTTCGACAGGCCCATTGAAAATAAGAAAGCTTCCAATACATGGTGAGGAAAACATTATATAAGAGAAACACATGTTTCCTAGGGGACGCTGCTGACACTACGACATTAGCATACGCAGCTGTTGCAGATATTCCATGGGGATGTACGAGGGCTGCGAAAGTCATTCTAAAGTGTCTTATGACCGAGGCTGGTTCGGTTGCAATGGCCGTTTGACAATAGGGCATGGATGAGATCACCGCACATGACCTACCACAGACGAAGATGGCGGTATCCGTGAGCGCTCCTCTGGACTGCTCATAAGTCTCCACTTTCTCATGGAGGAAGGCGCTCGAACGTCAAACTTTGAAGTCTATGGGGAGTTTAGGGAGTAGGATGACCTCTCAGAACGAACCATGTACCGCTGGGTGTCTATTCTGAAACTCCTACCGGCTCTAATGTTTATTATGTCTCCTCAAAATTGTCCTGATGCTGTCTACAAAGGGTGGTGGTAATTAATATCGATGAGACCCTAAATGGAACTTGGGCAGCCACCAGTTCACAAGACTACCTTCAATTAGATTTTTACAAGAGGGGAAGATGAGCAGAGATCATGGTTGTCGTCTCCTGTCTTTCTCCCCGCACTCACTTGAGAAGCATGTGGCAGCCGTGGGAAGTTGCTACCCAATATGAGCCTGTGAACGGAACTCTTGAGCCCTGTATTGAATGCTACAGTTTCATATCGTGGGCTCATGTACAAAAAATATAACACGATCTTCAAAATAAGACCTGGCCATCCGACAACCCTGACAGCCACCCTGGGGTTGGATGACACCAGAGGTCAGATATTTATGACCTTGTCGAGACTTCAAAGCAGCCGTGCTTCTTTGACCGTCACTGGCGACCACCGGGTCCGAAAAAGAGCGATATTGAGGTGACAGACTATATCAACATCTAGCAGTCTGCAAGCATCCTTATCCCCAGAGAACGTCGTGCTGGCGGACTAAGTGATCTCAGCGTTGAGAGAAAGGGACTGCGATCGAACATGTGTGAGGCTGCCACCTCAAGTTACTGCAATCCAATGCAATCTGACGGTCATGTTAGATCAGGTGCACTACCAACGCGACCCTCTCTGTAGTTGAGGACTCTTGAGAAAAGCCGATTCTTGGAGGTCTTGTACGTGTTCACGTCCAGCATTGACAGGACTCACCCATCGTTAAACGCTTCGTTCTGGAAGGGTATCCTCCACCCGATTCACTGCACGTATAAACAGTCGGAAGACCAGGCTGTGGAGGACAATGCACGAACAGATCACAACTTTTATTGGACTATTCGGAACACAGCATGTCGGTCGCTGAAGAAGCCGAAGTTGACTCGACAAGTCAAACAAAGTCGACTCTATTTCCACGCTTTGCGAAAGAGAGCATTCCCTTTTTAAATTTATGCGGAACACTAAGCATATTGTTACCTTTTTCTATTTAGAATAGATTGAAATGTGCGCGGAACAAATTAAAGTGCAGAAAATGGAGTTAGTATTTTCCGTCAACTTTCATTTCTTAAGCGGCCGGTATGATGTGTTCCATACAGTCCAACGTCCTTGGTCTTCCAACCATTTTTGGAGAGCTTAAATGATATTTTCCACTCCTGCCGGCTCAGCGGCATCAGCCTTATGTCATGCCTTGGTGTACTTTTTTGTTTCCCGCCAGAGTCTCCGCTCTTTGTGAGAGAAAACTTGTCTAATCTCTTTCACACTCTGTCTAATCTCTTTTGTGTTCTTACAATTTGCAGTGAGACACGATGTCTTCTTACCATCCCGCAGTGTTTCATACCTGTTTTCCGAGCAGAACACCGACTTGACCATACTTTGTTGAACTGAGATCTTGTACATATCAATCCCCTACCTGATTCGGTGAATAAATGAAGCCATCGTCATCATGAGACCGCTGAAAACAAGTCAAGTTAGTATAGCAGGCATATTCACACGAAAACATGCCGGGTCAACACAAAATGCTGTAGCATTACGTAAAACAGTAGACTGTTCATGGCATACGAGTGGCCCACTTCCCAAAGACAGCAGCCATGTTGCTGGCGTTGTTGCAATTAGGCACCTGAAGTGGTCAATGTTGACGGACACTCCGAGGTAATCAATGATGAGGTTCATTTGGAGTTACTTTTAGCCTTTCGGGGGGGGAAAGGATGGAAATTGCAACATTTCCCTTAAAAACATAGTATTTTATCCAAAACTGTATTTTCTCTTCTTCCATTGCAAGAATGTTGCAATTGCGGCCTTAGGCCACTTAGGGCGAGTCTACCAAATTGCTTTCTTTCCCCTTGCTTTCTCGCTTTTTTTGAGGGGAGGGGAGGGCTGGCGTCGATTTTTCCTTCACCAAGACCATGAGGTATGAGGTATTTTGACATCGTGTTGGAGAAAGTAAAGGGTGCAAGACGCTAAAAAAGTAAGCCTACCGTCTTCTTCGCGTTTAAGAGGGATGCGATGGGAAGGAGGATGAAGTGGTCTCTTTACAGACGCATTTGCATGCAGGGCCACGAAGGGGGACTCAAGAGGGGAGAAAATTACCCTCAATGAGGGGGAACTGCCCAACCACCCGCTCAAGATAACCGGAAGAAAAATCATCCATGGGTGAGGGGAGAAAACTCGTGACATGGAAATCGATTCTATGCTTATAGCCTACGTCATACGAGCTTCGAGACTTAGATTTTGGGATTTCACGGCATGCCAGACTGGGTAAAAGCCTGAATAAAATTGCAAATTGTAAATGCAGTTCGTGGTCATGCACGGATTCTTTTGGAGGCTGATACAGTGGGAAATGGAAGCTTCCCTTTCCTTTCTGAGATCGTAAGGGCACAAAAGAATCTCAAAAGTTGGACTTTTGATATTCTTTTTAAATAAAAATTATCGCTGGAAGGGGTTTAATGAGCTCCATCGGTTTCCTCCGACTAAATTGAATAGTTACCCTGACATCGATTTTATCTGGTCCTGGAAAAATATTCCACGAGATCCGAAGGGGTAACCTGATGCGATGCTCGACGAAGTTCTTTTTGCACCGAGCGAAGAAGCAGCTGCACACACTTGCCCTATCTAGGCAAGAGCAGTTTTACTGGTAATTCTTGGCTCTTCAAACAGAGGACAATGGAGAGTATAGTAAGGAACCTTGTCCCGCCGTGGCCTTGTGTGATTTCGTCTTTTGCCTTAGTCCTATGCTTGTTCTCTTTACTCTGATTCGTGTACCCTACCTAATTCGTCTCGTTGCGTTGTTTACACAAGTACTTCAGCGTCCCGAAGGAATCCTTGGGTACATCAATGCTTACACATGAGTTCTCTTGCTTGGAGTTACTAAGTACTTCTACTCAAGTGTTAAAAGTTGGGTACTTGCTAGTCAAGTAATAGGAATAGTAACAAGTACATATTCCTTTAACTTCGCAATATCGTCATTTTCAATGTTCTGTGTGGGTATCGAAGAGTGGGAACCTCTGTCGGAGCTGTATCCAGCCCCGCGCTAAAATCGTGGCCACCCTGTCGCAATAAGCATCATGATAAACTCAGATAATCATGATAATCATGATAAACTCAGAAATAAATAAATAAATAATTATAATAAATGCCCTCATTGACAGCTTTCGGGTTCACGGAAATATCTAGTGCTTATGATAGCATCTGAGTGCATGGAGTACATATTCCAAGGAGTACTTAGTACTTTTGCTTAAGTCGTTTGTTTTTACTCTATTATGTTTACTTAAATTCAAGTCGAGAGGTACTTCACAACACTGTACGATATGTATTACACTGCACATGACATGAAGGTATTTACTGAAGCGAAAGAAAAAACAACGGCAAGAGCAAGATAAATGGGAAAGGGTAAGGAGAAGGAAGAAAGGTGATTTTGGGGGCATTGTTCCTTGATATAGGGAGCAATTTGGAGGCGAGGGAAAATGAGAACGGGGTTGGGATTCCAGAGGGGATCCCTCCTCAGAACGGTCTTCATCATATATACTTACATTCTCCATTAGGCTCAGCCTTCCATCATCAGCCTAGCTCTCTCCATGGACCCATTAAACACCGACATTCCCATCCATCGACCTCGTATTGATGCGGTTGGCCCTCTTCTCTCGAAAACAAGGAGGGGCCTTTATTCCCGTGTTCATTTTGGGAGGACTCTCCCCAAAAGAAAAATTTTCGAGAGGCTTTTTCAGAATAACGCGGAGGCACTTCTGAGTTCTTGAGTGGCGTTCTAAACTCTTGAGTGCCGTTCTGATGTGCAGGCATTAACGAGACGGAGCTGGAAGACAACTTTGAGCTGGAGGACGACGTAAAGGTGAACGAGAACGCGATCGTGTACGAGAAAGAAGCCGAGTTCACGGCTCACCTGTCTGAGAACCTGGACCCGACTGCTCTCGGATCCGACCGGAAAGAAAAGGGACCTCAAATTCCAAGTCAAGGTCAAGATAAGGGAGTTCGGAGCACGACCCAAGTGTCTGCTTTGGAATGCAGACTGGATTGTGCCCCAGGTAAATGCACGTGGGACGAGGGCCGCCCTCGGTGCCTCTGCCCTCTGGGACTCCACGGAGATCGATGCCAAACTCGTAAGTACTCACATATCAATATCATATCGACATCTTCAATTTCTCATTTCGTACTGCTTTACAGTGTGTAAGCGATAGTGTTGATACATGTTAACTTGCTTCTTAAACCTCAATTTTTCGATTTCAACATATTCTCTTCCCAAGACGGTTGAAAAAAAAGCTAGGTCTTCGTGTCTGAACATCTTGTCCTGTTATTTATTGTGTCAAATGAGGTGAAATGATCCTACTTGCTGCATTCCCATCACCCGCGCTGAAAATGAAAATTCGCCATGAAATGGAAAACGAATCATATTTGCAGAGGTTGCTGTTCAGATCACAATCTCACTCCTCCATGTTGGAAAAGACTGGTTTCGTGATACTAAGTGAGCAGGAGTAAATTAGCCATTTCTCCCCATGGAGCTCGTCTCGCCCGAGTGCTCGGATTCGTGAGCTCTTGCGAGCTTCTATATACCATATAAGAAGATACAAGAGATCGAACATGGGTCGATGGCACCCAAACCGAATTTCCTTGTCCCAACCCCCATAATGGGGTTTCCTATTCCTCCCTCCCTCCCTAATGCCATCGCTTCTCTGAGATTGAGAAACGGTCGTGAGACTATCAACTACAGATAACACTCTGAAAGAGGGCATTTGAGTTTTAAATCGTGATGTTCAATTTTTTTTTTTTAGCGATCGATTTTTAAATTTAACTTTTCTTTGTCATAGCGTTGGAGGTGCACGTAGCCCGTTTCAGCGGCCACTCGTGGCTAGAATACCCAGTGCTTCGAAACGCATACGAGACGTTGTCCTTGACCATAGAGTTCCTGCCCGAAGCGTGGGATGGTGCCTTGCTTTATTCGGGCGAAGACCCCGAGCTCGATGGGGATTTCTTCGCCGTCTCCATCGTCGAGGGATTCGTCGAAGTCAGGTCATACCAGTCCCTTTCCTCTTTGTCGACAGCCTTAAATGGCAGTGTTGAGGGTGAAAAGAGCCGCCATTTCCTGATTCTCAAAGTGGGTAGCCGTCGCATGAACGTGTCCGGATTTCAATGCATTTATTGCCCAGGCTACTCGCTCTTCCCAGTTTCTCACAAATCATAGACATTACTGACTTACCACTATTCCAAAAATTTTGAGGAAGGGAAGCTCAACCATGACGTGAGAGATCACGGTGGTTTCTCCGTTGCCACAGTTTTAGGTGGTTTAAAAATATTGGGTGGTTTAAAAAAAAGCATTGCTGTTTTCTTTGGGAACTATATAAAGTAATTAAAACCTTAATTTTCCGCTCAATGCCGTCAAAATCCAAAGCACTTTCATCGTGCAAGAATGTTTGAAAGGAACAGAATATGCAATTATTGTAATGTAAGATATCTTGAGAAAACAATTAGCTAAAATGAGCTTTTGTCGGAAGACACGTCACGGATAGGTGACTCTTGCTTTGCCTCAAATTTTCCACTTTCTTTAATAGCCTGTATGACTCGGTTGAAGAGCGCTTTGGGGATGTTGGTGATTACATTCCTCCGTGTTCTTCAAAAACTGCAGATTGTTGGGTTTCGGATGTTTAACTCTTTCCTTCAAGCATATTCACGATGAAGAGTCCAAATGATAAATGTGAGGGATTGTATTGTCCTCATGGACAATCCCTCACACTTATCTCACGCAACAAATTCATCTTTCTGGAGTTCTCATGGACTCCAGAGAGATGAATTTGTTGTGGAGGCCATTGCCCAAATGCCGTAGCTACTTCTGTTGTAACTGTTTCATGAGTTTTGTAACTTCAACACGAGATGTTTGCCTTCCGGCCAGGTTACACAGCACCAGAATTCATAGCTGGAGAGTTTCTCCGAACCGTTTTCCCGCGTATTGTATCGTGCCAAATGTTACGTTGCATCCTAAGCATCCAAATTAACGTTTTACCGTTCGTCTCAGTGACAACGATTTCATTACACACTGCTGCCGAGCTTGTGTACCAAATTTCATCAAGGTCCCTCAGCTCTTTCTTGATGTTGCTTTTTCTGGTGATGAGTATACTTAAAGTTTACTTAAAGTATACTTAAAAGCAAAAGCCATTCTTATGAAACAATTTTTGGAAGCGCATCAGATCTCAAATGTCCACAAGAAGGGGTAAGAATTCTTCTTTGCTATCACAGTTTTAATCGTGTCAAGTTGCACCTTGACTGTCCGCTATTTACTGCCGGAGTCAGTTAAATGTACTCACACTGAATTCTTCGAGGCACGCTTTCGATTCCTTAACGAGAGATTTGAATTTCGGATGGATGTTGAACAGGTTGGACTGTGGTTCGGGTGTCGGACTGATTCGTTCCATGGAACCGGTTCGTTTGGGTCGGTGGAACCGCTTGGAAATCGATCGGCATCGGTGGGACGTCTCGATGCGACTCAACAACGGGAGCAAGGTCGTGGGCAGGTCAAAGGTCAGTCTGGGATAAGGAATTTTCTCAACTTCGAGAGGGTTCTTGGAATGGATTCCTATTCTTAAATGTAATACTCTTTCTCCAAATTCATACAAAGGCAAATTTCATAATTAAACAGGTTTAGTCTATCTAAAAATGCACAAACTCGATATTGTTACAACATGAATCCGATTTTACCGTCGCGCAGGGCTTGTTCTCCCGGATAACATTCCGTGAGCCGATGTACGTGGGAGGGAGTCCAGACGTGAGGAAAGTGAGTGCTGCGAAGGAGATCGGTCTCGGGTCTGGCTTCCTCGGATGCATCCGATTCATCGAGCTCAATCATCGGCCCTTCACGTTCCTCACGCAGCCTGACGGCGATGCCCGATTCGGCCTTGACATCGGTCAGTTATTTTTCCCCCGATTTTTTCTAATGTGTTTTTGATATGATTCTATTGCTTTTATTCGTTTTTTTTTCACGTTTCTGTAGAGGAGTGTTTCGGAGACAAATGTCAAGAGTTGGCCTGTCTCCACGGGGGTAAATGCGTCGCGCCATCGACTGCCCCGAATCTGCAGGGAGACGTCCAGTGCCTCTGCCCCCTCGGATACATCGGGGAGCGATGCGAAACCCCCGTCGACCTCGAGGTGGGTGCAAACAGTTTTCCGGAAGTGACGTCAGTGACGTTGTCCTATAGGAAAGGGGGCTGCCTTTCGGGCATTTTCTTTACTACCGTAGAGTAGGTTTCATGATCGTCGGATCGATTCATTGACCCTCGGTGCCTCTGCCGCAATGTCTCTTTCAAGAATAGAAAAAGTATATATGCACATGCCATGAGAGGAAATTGAAAAAGAGAGATAGGGGAAGAAGAAATGAGATGTCGTACATGGATTTCGAATCCGGATGGACTAGCTGCTAAGATGATCAGGCTGTACTCGGAACATTCCCGGCTTCCATTTCTAAGACGGGGAAATTTCCCGGGTCGCCGATGCGGAAGTAACAAAGAAAAAGAGGAGAGGCGAGTCAAGGAGGGAAGGGACTCGTGCACAATGCCCCCCCTCCCCTACCCTACACATAGGTCGATATTGATGCATGTACAGGGTGCCTCATAACCTTTTGCAGGGGGTCGCTGAAACATGAAAAGGTGCAGTGCGTGTGAATTATATAATGAAGCTTATTCTCTTATGTATTGATCGCATAACTCACTTTTGTTTTCATGTTAATGGCACGTCTGTTTAATGGCACGAAAGTACAGCTTTGTTGACGGTGTTGAATGTCTGCATTCGTATTGCTGACGAAGCGGGTGCCGCATTCATCAACAGCGATAACATATTTTCCCTTTATTATCATAATTAGTTAGACAGGCAAATGCAGAATCGTTCAAGCTTCAACTTGATGCATACAGGTACAGCGCGATCCCATGCTTCGGGAATGTCCTGGCGAAAGGTTATGCGGTACCCTGTATATGTCACCAGTCAGTATGCATCGGACCGGTAGGCATAGAAGAAGTCCTCGTAATTGAGGAGGTAAATAGATTCCCGCGTCCCCCTCAAGATGGGTAGGGCACGGGAGCATTTGTGACAGGGATGGATGTGAACTCGCATGTTAACGCCGTTTGTATAGTGCGCCATCTCTGTGAAGCATTGCACACGAACCGCAATGGTGTCCTCTTACAGCAACTGTTTTCGTCGTCTGCGGTGTGCCATTTTTTTGTGAGAGAGAAAAGCCCTCTTCGCATACCGAGCAGCTTTGTGCTCGTGGGATGCGTCATGAGTGGACATGGTATGGCGCATGGCAACCAAATACTCATAGGACGTTTTGGGGTCTTCTGAGTCAATACTGCAGCCAATAAAGTTTATGCGTATTTCGCGTGTTCAGGTGGAGTGACCTTGAATAATGGCAGTCTGCTCGGGAACAGTTGTAACATGTTATAGTTGCTCTCGGTATACCATCAGTCCCAAGTTTCTATGTTAGTGCATGAACACTTATATTAATATTTTAATTTGGTTAATAGTAGTCTATGATATTTCGCAAGAGGGAATAATACTATTTCAATGTGTTGTTCAACTCTCAATATTTGCAGTATTATTTAATATTATAATTAGTATCCGATAGGAACATCAAAGACTATGAATGAGCCAGGTGGGATTTGAAGAGCGTGTAAGTGTGTAAAATGGAGTTGGATGACCCTTTGGCCTACTTTGGTGTCAGTATTAGAAGTATCCTTATGAATTTATTTTTGCATTAAATGTGGAGGAACTAAGTGGAAACTTGTGTCGTGTTGGTTGACCTGGTCACGTTGACGATGTCTTATGCGAACGGGCGCATCGATACATCAAAATCTCTGACAGCTACGGACATACATAAAACAATGTTAGAACTGACCTCGAGTTCCCCTACATCAATCTCTTTTCGAAGGTAAGGATCTAAAATCTGGGTTCGGTGGAGAAAGCCTAGTAGCGCTATTAGTTGGGGGGTGGGTGGGCTTCAGCCCCTCCCCCTCCCAGTCTAAATACCTGCACGACAAAACAGGAAGAATCTGTGGCAATGGTGCAACCAAAGAGGGGCTATCAGGAGGTTTCAATTCTCCCTTAAGGCCTGAACAACCAAAGCCCTCCCCCACCCACCCCGAAGATGCACGCGGGGGGTGAGTGGCTCTACTTTATAGCAGACCTATTTTCGCAAAGTTTTCGCAAAGGTCCTCCCCCCCTCTCCCCTCCCTCCAGGCGCTGGGCACAGCAATATATAAAGGATATGGTCGCACAAATTTCTAAGCATCTGTCACCCCATTGAAAAGGCGATGCTAGCGGGTGGTCTCGAGAAATTTCAGCCCTCCCCCCCCTCACCTCCTCCTTTCCTCCTAGGTCCCCAATGATGAAATTCTGGCTGAGCCACTGAGCGCAACCATACAGCGTGAGTGACTTTGTTATGTCTTCAATAGGATTCTGAACCGACTGTAGGAGACTCCTCGACTATTCCAATACCAAGATGTAATTAGTGGTGTTAACACCTAATTAGGCAACTTAGAAGAGACACTGCGCCTGTAGGGCTTTCTCGCGCGGTCCCTCAATTTGCGTAGTGTTGGGCTGGCTTGCGCGGACGAGATTTTTCTCTCTCATCTGTGGAGAAATAAAGTTTAGTGGCCCGAGAAAAGCTGGTTGGAGCGACAGGGACGGTCTCGTTCGTTTTCGAGCTTCAATCAAGCCTCACTGGGGATGTCTCTCGTGAAGGAACGGAGACTTCCCCGCGCCTTCACTCTGAGACGGAATCGACTCCTATGAGTTCGGCCCGACTCTATCGGCGTGGGAAGTCGTTTGCTACGACTTGTTAACGGGCTGCGAATTTCTCGCGAGGATATGATGGAGATAAGAAGAGGGATAGAAAAGAGAAATTCCATGCATTCGTCAATGGGTCGAGTCGCTATCGAATGACGTCACCAGTGCCCTTTCGGAGCGACGGAAATGAATATCCGGCCGATAAGGGGTTGCAGGTGCGTGCTCGACTCGTCTTCCCACTGAGATAGGATTATTGCATGGGACTGATGTCGAAATCAGATAAGTGTTAGCCTGCAAGCAGGGATGGGGATAATTGATACGTCAAAAACGACGCGATCGAGTTTTTTTTAATATTTATTTCGTAGCCTAGGCTGACTTTTTCGTTTTCCAAATTACTCGGGATCGGTCGTGGTGTGCTGGATAATGCATTTGAAACTATCGGCCACCTCGTGAGTTGTGTACTTTCTGAATGGTACGCAACTTACGCAGTGGGAAGCCGTGACGCCCTTGAACTCGGCAGATTTCTATAGCGTAATAGTCGATCCGGGAAGAAAGATTCACTGTGGGTGTGATGGCTGCTCTCGCAGAGCATTCAACGGGGTAGGGTCGACTCAGCCCGTTGGTGCTCCGAGAGATTCCGTGTGATTAAGAGTGTGTCTGAGGTGTGTTCAATGTTTACTCGAAAACGAGCCGTAATATTTTTTTCGCGACGGTTTGACCCGTCGCGATACGTCGTTGCATCGATGGATCGTCGATGATTGCACGTAGTATCACATACCGTCGGCACCCTTTAAGCTGAGATGTCATCATAAAACTTTGCAGATGCGTGGAAGGGGGATCCCGCAGTGCTTGGAAAATTGAGCCAGAGAGGAAAAAAGAGAGAAGGATCCCTTTTTTTTTTTTTTTTTACTATTTCCGGCTTCCGACCGCTCCTTGCGTGTGATGCATAATAGACCATAGTTATTTACGGGCGTTGCACCGGGCCTCACATCCTCTTCAGAGGAACTTTCGCCGCGCTTCTCTCTGTTAGACATCGTTCTATAAAAGATAATGTTTTGCGATGCATCGAAGCATCGGCGTCAGGATTCAGGGCGATGCACCGTTACGTACTAAACCCCCTTCTCGACAGCTCAAGTAAAATTGGCCATAAAAAATCTGGGAGCGGCTTGGATTCGGGTGCGGCTTGTTCTCGGGTAATTAAGGTCAAACTGCCTTGCGTTCTTCAGCACCTGCTGAGCGGCTCTGATAATATGCAAGTCTTGAAGCACCACTGGTGAAGGCGAGTGGGATGATGTGATTGATCTAATTGTCTTATCTGCATCAGATAGATGATGGTTTCTCTGACATTAATTCCAATAGAATGTCATTTATATGTATTTTTTTAAGTATGTGTATCATGTTATTTTGAAAATATACGGTTTTATGTTGCGAAATACTATTCGATATTATGTTTAATCTATTGCGATGCAATTAAAGTTGCAGTGTTCTATTTTCAATAATATCCATACGGACATTTGGGTCTGTCCACGCCAAGTGGTCCTAGGATTTTAGACGGAAATTTTCCTAAATATGCAAATATTTATTTCGCTACAGAAGTTCATAATCTCTTTTCCCAGAAGACATGAATGAAAGAGAATATTACATTGGGAAATGAAAGAATTAGTCTTGATTATGATATATTATTCATCCCGCTCTCACGACACTCAAAACTGTGATGAAAATGCAAATCTGGAGAGACTGAATTGGACTACTAGAACAGATGCCAGCATGGGCTTTCCATGCATACTGATTATTTCAAATCAGCTCAGGTGTGAAGAGTGGATGTCAATTGTTCACGTTTGAATTGACATCTTAAAAATGAAATTAAAAGATATGAACAGACTTCTCGTTTCAAAATACATTTTCAGAACATGTCACATCCGACACCGTCACAAAAAGTGCTTACAATCTCCTTCAAGTGTTGTAATCTTGGCGTGACTTACTCTAATTCCAGGCTTTCATTCAATCTCTAGAATGAACATGAAACTAAATTATTAGGCTCTGCTCGATGACGGATATGTGAACATTAGAGCAAGTGACTCTAACTGGAGGGTTTACAAAATGTCACGTCTGACACTTTTCTTTGCACATAGATACGCCTCTAACAAAAGAGAGAGTGCAAGACTTTGGATTGTGGAATTTTCAGTCACTTCCCAAAGCAAATTGTTGCAGCCTTTATATGCTGATTTGTCATCCATAATATAGTTAAATACATTTTGTATATTAAACATATTACTCCGGATGTCACGTCCGACGCCGTGGACAGACCCATTTCTAGTGTAAATAGTTTCGTTTCTGGGACTAGTACGATTTTTACTTTAAGTAGTTTTCTTCATGCTGTTGCTGAATCTTGTTGAATGCAAATGAAGGAATGATGTTTCTCCGAACTGTGTAACTTCCAGTCCGGCTGTATGATGAATTTTTTCATCAGAATATAATAATTTTCTGAGGAACGACTCCTCAGAACGGCAAGCTCACCACTTAGTACTTCAACTGATGAGAACATTGCGGTGGAATTCAGCCTCGATTCTCTGTCGGATTGCAATTGCCTAGGATCTGTTGATTTTTTAAATTCCCTGAATTCTTGAAAGAAACGATAGCAGCGGGGGCAAAGACGAACGTTCGTCGACTGCTGGCAAACACGAAGGAGGAGGAGGAGGGGGATTGCTCAGCCATACAGGCCCAGGCGCTCCGCTTTTGTGCTTTGTCCCTCCCATTTATGAAGGGGAGTCCATGAATAATGGATGGGGGTCCGGGATATCATCCCCTGGCTTCCCTTCAAGTACCCCGGGCCCGCGTCTGGGGCATGGCATTCCCATCTTATATACGGGAGCGTGAGTGTCCCAAATGTCGTCTCGCGGAGGAATTTCCTTTCAAGATGAATATTGACATTGGGAAATCCGGGTTCGTGAAAAAATGTTGGGTTTGACGCTGCAGCGAGGGTGTGAAATCGAAAAAACGTGACTTCGACCTCGATCTTTCGTGGTCGGCTTTGAAAGTTTAATACATATTTAAAAAAACATGGAGGTGGCGATGGAAAGTTGAAATGTCGCTCCTCTCCCGTATAATCCGATCGAATGTCGCAAGTAGAAGTTATAAAAGGGTTTCCATGGGAACTGGATAACTAATTCAGGTAGCGTGTTGGTGTGTATGTAATATAGCCCCCAACCCTTTCACTCCACCCCACTCGCATGCCTCCGGATTCATTATCCATTCGAGATTCTTTTGTGCAAGCTGTGATGGAAAATTCCTTGCGCGGAAGGCACGACTGACATATTAGCTCTCTCGCAGAGAGAAAAGAGAGCACTTAGTCGTCGGAACGACATGGAGCTGCATGAAGCTGTTAGCGATATTTGGAATAATATTCTCATCGACTGTCTGTGGTCATTCGTTCCGGAATGCTGAGACTTGTGAATTCCCTTTTGGAGACTATAGAGGGGGATCAGCCGTTTCTAGGCGACATTGTCCGTCATGTTGAAGTCATGATAATGATGAGATTGCAGTAAATTATGGAATTGAGTTGTTTGCATTACTTTACGATCAAACTAGGTTTAACTGCCATCGATACATCTGAGAACGAATTATAAGCTAAAATATGCGATTTTGGAGGTAGGATCTCGTTTTGTAGCCAGTAGTGTCTGCAAATTCATTATATGACGTCTATGATGATTTTGAAGACACGTAAAAATGTTTAGAGCACGCGCAAAAAAATTATGTTCATTGTCTGAATGGGCAGTGACTATAAAATTCCCTGGAATTAGGAAAATAAGCAATAAGCCTACAACAGATGTCTGGAAGACGGAGAATGGATGGTCGTCTTATTTCTATCCATTATTCAAGTGGATCAATGAGAGCAGAAAGGGGTGTTGTTGCGATGGCGTCAATAGATAAAGATATGATACAATAGATCAATAGATACGTCATCAGCGTCAATAAAAGTAACATTGGGCTATCAATTGAGAGGAAAAGTTTAGGATCATTGCATCGGCCGGGAATCTAATCCGGGCCGCCCGCGTGGCAGGCGAGCATTCTACCACTGAACCACCGATGCTTTCAAAGGTGTTTCTTTTTATTCCTCTTGGAGTAGCGTATCATTGTCGCACACAGCACAACACTACCGTAACTTTCATGGCCTGTCGACCTAGTCGACCGCTCTGCGTGGCTGAAAACCCAGAGTAGGACGATTGTCGCGGTTGCTTGGGAAATTTTCTGCCATGTTGCGCAATGCTTAATTTCCTATTCGAAAGAGAATTAAGGATACTCCGCACGTAATCATATATACCAAATAATAAACAGGCACAGAATAAAAGATCAACTTCATCTAAAGTGTAATTTCCCATGTTTCCGGCATATTATATTAATATGCGGATAGATTTTGAAAATGCCGAGAATAACTAAAGATTATTCAAGGAACAAGGGACGAAGAATGCCTTCTCCCAACGAAAAGCCTGGAAAGCCTCCTGGAGTCCGATTTTGAAATATTCCATGTGCTTTCTTCATATACACATTTTAATTTTAATTATTTACTTTTTGTGACATATATGCATGCATTGGGTAGGTAATTTCGAAGCATCGGTGGTTCAGTGGTAGAATGCTCGCCTGCCACGCGGGCGGTCGGGGTTCGATTCCCGGCCGATGCAACTCTTTCTTTTATATTTTTTCCCTTTTATATTGATTGCCCACAGTAACTTTAAGTGACGCTGATGCTGGCATTTTCTGCCCTTTCTTGAACCACAGAAAGTAAAGAATCGAAGGGTCTAAGGTATCTATTGACGCCATCGCAACAACACCCCTTTCTGCTCTCATTGATCCACTTGAATAATGGATAGAAATAAGACGACCATCCATTCTCCGTCTTCCAGACATCTGTTGTGGGTTTATCTCTTATTTTCCTAATCCCAGGGAATTTTGCAGTCAATGCACAGGCAATGCTCATGCAATGTGCAAGGATATAAATCTCTTTCACTGAGTAAAATCTCGTCACATGCACACGAGCCTTGGAACTTGGTTCTTAACTAAGGGGACTCCGGTATTTTCCGGAACTTTTATTTGATTGTGGATCTCGGCAAGATTTCCTGGACTGTATAGAAAGGATCTTCATGAGAGAATACTGGTTATCCAGAAAAAAAAAATCGCCTACCGCTGTAATATCTGGTTCTGAGCTAAAATGCATGGAATGAAGCGAAGGCATTCGAAACAGTTCATTTCGTTCTGCGACTCATGCATATTCAATTCAATAGGATTCTGCTTTTGCGTCGGTGAACGTAATGCATATCGTGTACCTAATTGCGTAATTTCCCCTTTTCCAGCTAACGTTTTCAAATCCTGCCGTGATATGGCAAAGAATATTTAAACGAGGACTTCCTACGGCTCCAATATGGAAATTGCGTTCGTGTGTCGCAGGTCCCGTTCTTCAATGGGACTTCATACCTGAAATACCCAGCCCTGGGGAGTTCGGCCCTGGAGAGTCTGGACCTGGAATTGACGATAAAGCCATCGGCTCGGGACGGATTGATCCTCTTCGACGGGCGTCGGGCGGATGCAGATGGAACTTTCCTGGCTCTCTTTCTCCGCGATGGATTCCTCTATTTCGGCTTTGACCATGGGGATGGTGCCTTCTTTGTCAGGTGAGGTTCACGGTTTCGTTTTAAGTTTTTATTTTATTTTTTAATTTTATTTAAGGCCGTCGGTCTTCAACGTCTCGTTCGCACGATGCATGTCTTCCCTTTTGTTCCGCATCAAGCCTCTGAATTTATAAATGCCGCTTCGATAACGTCCCACGCTCGCAACCAACTCGATGAGTTGATTGCGAGCGTGGGACGAAATCGAGAAAATGACGGGACGGATTTTGGGGGCGAGCGAGTCGCTTGCACGTGCAGTGGCAACGGCGGAACGGCGAATATGGCCCCCGCGATTCATGCGAGGGGAGCTGTTGGATTCCAAGCCCGTCGGCCGGGAGTTGCCTAGCGGAAACAGATCCTCGAGAGAAGTTTAAAAGGAAATGCTTGACTGCTTTCCATTTCGTGCTACGTTGAAACTCTTAACTTCCACTAATTCCCACAAGGACAACAACTCCGGAAAGTATGAGAAGAGCCTGCGAATCCTCCCATGGGTATATTCCTTTCAAAATTATGGCTCTGTATTAATTACAAACTGACAGTGGAGAGAGTGAGGAGCTTGGCATGGCTTGCATGGTTCAGTAGAGAGACCTGTGCCAGTACTGATGTGATATCTCTTCATGCAGGAAATTCAAAAGGATGGAGTCCTTTGCCGAATTTAGAATATCTCTAGACACCTGTCGCAAAGTACACCGTGGCTGGCAGTATATGTGACTGCGTCGTCATGATGCGTGCAGGACCCTGTGGAACATGTGTTATTTCTTTTTTTCCTACTAGTTTCCTATGAAGTATGGATGGAAAAGGGACTCCTGGAATGCCATGCTGTCACGATTGCTATTGGCAGAATGCAGTATCGGCTCCCTACCCCAATATCAGACAACCCCCAATATCCATAAGGCGATAATGAATACTGGACAAAATGCGTCGAAATGTAATGATGGTGGGCGATCGAACTGAAGTGGCATTTGCGGACATCGGCTGCTCTGATTTTTCCTCGATCTTCCTTCAGAAAAGAGCTATCCGCTTTACCGCTCGTCGCTATGAAAATTAATAGACGGACACACTGGCGAATTACAGTACGACCTCGATTCAATTTTTCTTCACGATTCTCGTTTAAGGCGTGACCGAGAAAGGAATTGTGGTTGATAGGATTCAGAATACGATTGTATCTCAGTTAATAAGATGATGAAATTAACCCATTCTCCAGCGAAGAATCCAGGACAACAAGACTGAGCTTTTCCAGCTTTTTTTTTTCTACAAAAACCCAATCCTCGCATTCTCACCACAGGAGCGAGATGCAACTGGAGACGGAGAAGTGGCACCGAGTGGAGGCATCCAGGGCTGGACGGGGGGCTTTCCTCAAGATCGACGACCAGCCTTACCTGTTCGGGGAGAGCCCAGGGGGGTTCTCGGGGCTGTCCCTCCCGCAGCCCCTGTTCCTCGGGGGGGTCCCGTTGCACGAGGGGGTCCCAGAGGTCCTGCCGAGGCAGGGGTTCGTCGGATGCGTTCAGAAGGTCTCGTTTCTTTCGGCTTCGATTTCGGTTGCGGTGACGAGGCGGAATCACGAGCTGCTTCCATGACTGCCACGTGTGAAAAATTTTCAGATGGTGGTGAACGGGAAGCGCATCAAGATCCTGGCGGCATCTCTGTCCGGCTACAACGTGAAGAACTGCGAACATCCGTGCACGAGGGAGCCGTGCACGAACGGAGGGACGTGTCTCCCGGAGAACGATCGACACTCTTGCCTGTGTCCGCTGGGTTACGGGGATCCCAGCTGTGAATCCCAGGTCTCGTACCAGGGCGCCAACCCCATGTTCTTCGGGAACGGATATCTCTTCTACGGTCATCAGATCACTCACGCGTGAGTCGCCGTCCATGCATGCGATTCGTCTTCGCGAAATTAAGAATTCACGTCGACCGGGGTTCCGACGATGCAGAGCGACGGGGAGCAACACGTGGCTGTCTCTTCGTTTCCGGACCTTCGCCGATGGGCTGTTGCTCTGGCTCGGCGATTCTCAGAGCCTCGTGGCTTCCGAGTTCCTTTCCGTGTCGATCGAAGGAGGTTTGCTTCATCTTCGGTACGATCTCGGGTCGGGAGAAGCCGACATCGTGGCCAACGGGAGCCGAGTGGACGACGGGCATTGGCATACCGTTCGTGTCATCAGGTGTGCCCCGAGATTCTCTCTCGTTATTTTGTCGAGATGTTTCGGGAAATGGACAAAATATTCTCGTGGCAGGACGCAAAGGGAAGGATCGCTGATCGTCGACGACGTCAGTCCCATCTTCACGGGAGCTTCACCGGGCTGGCATCAGAAACTCGATACGCAGGGTGGCCTTCACATCGGTAATTGTTTTTCCTCTCGAGAACGACGAGTCCCTTACGATTCCGATGATGTTCATGCGTGGGGGGGGGGGCATCCGTTGGATCAGGTGGCGTCCAGCACGACGGCGAGGCCCCGATGCACCGCTTCAAGGCCGGGATCACCGGCTGCATCGCGGACCTCAAGATCTCCCCCGACGTCACGCTGCACTCGATCGACGATGCCACGTCTGGGGTGAACGTGGATCTCTGCGTCTGAGAGGGTTCGGCCGACTCACGTATCTGTGATGATTTGTACCATATGCGAAATGAGAGCAATTTTCTCCCCCGTGCTTTCCACGTGTGGCTCGTATGTCCTCATCGAATTGGAGTTCGTCGTGTTCACAAGTCCACTGGCCTCGTGCGAGGCCGTGCACTCCGTAGCCGGTCCGAGCCACTCGGAGCTATATATTGTATGCCTTTTCCCCCCTACCCGCTCGCAAGGATTTAACACTCCTACCGAATGTACCCATTGAATCGTTGTTTTTTTTTTTAATACTAACAAACGGAAATGAGTCTCTCGATTGATCGTTCTGCAGTCTATGAGCACGTTCGGCCACGTGCTGCACCGGTGCACGGGCATAGAAACGTTCTGGAGAGGGGAGAAGGGGCAAAAGTGACTTTCGAGTAACCTCGATTGGGAGAGGGGAGTACTTGGCAGATGTACATGGAATATATATGTTCTAGACGGAGATGCATCATGAAAAATGTGAAATCAGACAAAAAATACCTACTTTTTCCCACCTTTCCCCTACCTATTAAAGTGGAGAGCATTTTTCCCCTTCTCTCCCTGCCCCAAACATTTGCTACGCCCTTACACCGGTGTCGATGGGGAAGCGAGAGATTGAATTTTTTTGTTGTTGAAAATACTAGCAAAGCACAATCTTGATCGAATTCAGTATCCCAGCTTCCACGCGGTTCGCTTTAACGTTTCCGGGAGATCGTGATCATTTAACGTTCTCAGCGTCGGTGCAATAAGGATTTTCACTTCTCGAAAAATCAAAATCTCATCAGCCGGATCACTTTTTTTTCTTTCCTGCATGCTCTTTTTTCGTGCAGCAGATTTGGACATATCACAAGAGCCATATGAGAATGCATTGCACTGTTAGTTCTAGTCAAGAACCTCCTCCCCGTTTTTCACTTTATCGTGGGTCTGTGCGAATGAGTAGAGGCTGAAGTGTCCTTACCGATTGGCCTCTGGCATCTGGATTCCCCTTGGTAGTTTCCCTCTCGATCGCAATCGCATTGACGTTTCACCTTTTTTTTTAACTATCGGGATGAGTGTGTGTCTCCGTTTCATGCTGTTATGCAGCTATCACCGAGGGGTGTCGCCGCGGGGGTCGGGGGACGAGACGTGTCCCATGCATTTCATCGAATGTTTAAAGATATAAGTTGGAAAGGGAAAGGGTTGTGAGTGCTGATTTAAGTAAGTAAGGAAACGATTACTATTAAGGATATTTAATAAAGAAATTAGAGACCACGAGATTCCGTGTCGAAGAAAGTCATGAGATTTCCACGTGAGTACAGAAAAAATGTTTGGTGTGTGCATGGGTTTGCAGTCCCCCGTCTCTTGAACCTTGGCGACGCTCCTGCCTCACCAGTGACCCCTTGGAAAAATAAAAGTGGGATTCTAGTCATTACCTGGATGTTCTTGATTTTATTTCTCGTGAAGCTGAATTTGATGAATCAGTCCGTCACTTTTTCATTCCGTCTGTCCACAGTAGCCATAGCGACCGGAAAACTCGACACAGCGTGCATGTGCAGCTTTTCGTCCGAGTCGGGGTGACAGTCTACGATTAACACTTCCACTTCCCTTCCAGCCTTCGCGGATGACGGATCTATAGTAGACAATAGGAGAGTGTGGCTGATCGCGGCCGCGTCGACAGGGTTGCTAGGCGTACGCATGGGATGCCGCATCTGGCATCTGTAATCCTACACTTCATGCTCTCGTCCCGTCACCACACGACCCGAACGCGCGAACCGTTGAGAACATTGTCTAGTTGTCTGGGACTCTCTATTTAGGTCTATGAGGTACCGATGACAGCCATCACTCGTTCCAAAGTTGGATGGTTAGGACACTGGCGATGATGATTCGAGAGATATCGGGGTGAGTGGAATGGCAGATCTATACCTGGGTTGGTACTCCTGTTAGCTTTTCGAAAGAGAGTACAACATGTTCTTCCCTGATACTAGCTTTTCGCATGAACCAAAGAGAAGAGAACCACAAGAAAAAATCGACTATGACTTCTAAAGCGTTGTCCTCATGTTTCCGACATATTACAGGGTGACAAATAAGATCTATCCCTTCTCTCTTTACCAATACCAACGAATTCCATGAACTTTTAATGAAAGAGTTATTTAAAATGTCCATGACGTGCTTTCACCAAAGCCCTCAGGCGACGGCACCAGTCGAGGACTGCATCACGAAGAGTCTCTTGAGGAAACTCCTTCCTCGCTCGAAGGGACCCCTTCGGCGACTCAACACTGATGCGCGGGCAAGGACAGACCGAATGCAAGAGCGACCACACGGTGCAAGGGATGGAGGTCTGGAGATGATTGGGGTCGATCGGTCCACTCGAAGTCCGGCACGTCGTGCTGCAACAAATTGCTTGGTCACGTTTGCGAAATGGGCTGGAGTCGGCTGGAGCAGAGTCTCGCTGGAAGTGACAGGGTTGTCGAAGATTTTTCGACCGCTGTGCTTTATCACAGGCTCCTAAATGTGCTCGCGGTGCCGATCTCTGTCCACTTTGGCTCCTTAAACCTTCCTGGAACCCCATTTTAAAATATTCTAGATGCTTTCCTCATTTACACATTTTAATTTTAGTTATTTACTTTCTGTGACCTATATGCATGAATTGGGTAAATAAGGACAAGAGCATCGGTGGTTCAGTGGTAGAATGCTCGCCTGCCACGCGGGCGGCCCGGGTTCGATTCCCGGCCGATGCAATGATCCATTTTATTCGTCATTTATTTCCATTGATTGCCGTCAGTAACTTTTAGTGACGTTGATGTTAGCATTTTCCTCCCTTTCTTATACTTGGTCTTCTGTGTAGACTACCCACATTTGCCGGAGATCGGCCCCACGCAATTCTCGTGAATTGGATAAAATTCCCGTCAAATTGGAAATGAATGGCAAAAAAAAGGAATCACGTTGAAAATTAATTCGGTGACTTTCAGACGCGGTCATCCTTCGTGTCCCCTTAAGAAATTTCTCTTACGTATTCGTATTTTGGCAGTTTATCGATTAGAGGAAAGAGCCCATGAATTGTAGGCGGATTCATACGTAGGTTACTCTCCGATTGATCTGCAGGCGTTTGGAACGGCCTCGGCGCGTCCAACACAGGAAGCTCCCCGGCCGGTCCCTCGCCCAGGACTATCTGCTCCGAAGCTCCTTCACTTCGCACCCATCGGGGAAGGACGAGAGGAGTGAGGAGTGACGTCATCCCTGGGAAGGCGGGGATGACGTCACTCCTCATCATGACCGCAATGCCTCCGCATTCAGCATTCAGCGTTCTTGGGGAGTGGACGTACGGGGGTTTGTCCAGGAAAATCGAACGTTGTCTCTTTGTAGTGGAATTCCAGGCTCGTTCCGGCGGACATGGAGGGGCTGGGCTCATGAGAGGGTAATTTGGTCGTCATCCCTCGGCAGCAACCGGTTATGGGACGCGAAACCCGTCCAGGGGTGTCTAACCTCATGCGTGAAGCATAAGCCGCCCTCGACCGATCTCGTTCCATTCGTGGAGCCTTATATGATCAAATTTCCACCCTTAGTCTTGCTCAAAGCAACTGCTGTAAGTCAATAGTATGTTTAAAAAGGGGAAAGGGGGGGGGGGCAATGACTTCCCTACGAAAAACTGGACAGATCCAGAAATAATTCCTCGCTCACTTAGGAATCCTCAACCCAGGGGCGGATACAGAAATTTTTCATAGGCTCCCAAGTTCCTACTAACCCCCCCCCCGCCCCTCGCCTACCACCATTCCTCGTCCTTTCGCCTTTTTAATTTTTCGTCTGGGTTAAGAACTTGAGTGTCAATTTCAATGGCTCCGATAAAATTTAATGCAGATACTATTTTGAATAAATAAATCAAATGCTAACCTGACCATAGGGGGGCGGTCGCTCCCCCCCTGTATCCGCCACTGCCTCAACCCCCAAGGCTTCCTACCCAAGTATTTGCCAAGTAGGAGTATGATGCAAAGCGATCCGACCTTCGCTGATCTTGAGGCGTGGAGGAGGGGGTGGGGCTAGCTAAAATTGGAACTGAGGCTTTCTTCGTGCTCGGTGATCGCCTGGAATCGTCGATTTCTTGCGTCTTCTTTCTTCATCGACATTTTTGCCCGTTCGAAACCGTGTTTGACTACGTTGGGTGGTGAGGGAATGGGCTCGCTTTCCATGAGGGAGCTTCACTTACCCAGCGCTAGATGTCTCTCGTGGGCGAATCCAAGTTTCTGCCATGTTTCCAGTTTTCACAAACTTTTCGAAAGAACTGATAGTGTACAAATATATTTAAGGGTCAGTCGGATGATGTGAACAAGAAGAAAAGAACATCCGGGGCATTGTTAAATCTTAACCAACTCTAATGAAAAAATCGCATGCAAATTTGCGAAAAGGTTAAACAGAGGCACGATCCCTGGGAACTCGACTATCCCTGTGACAGTTGTTTGTATGTCTATCCTCGCACTATCGCCGACCTGAACGGGGAGCCTGATAAACAGAGACCGGTATGGTTCTGTACCCACTATCACAAGTACATGTTGCCATGCGGTCTGGCGACGGAGTTGCTAACCTCTCGACTTGGTCGCGAATCATTTCCACTTCCCACGTGGAGACGAGAATCATGCGGCGATCACGTGAACTTCCATGATGCTCGCATTAACTACGTTTCATCGAGTTATGCAACTTCGGAGCCAGATGTCCCTGTCCGACCTCCCTCGCCCGACGAGAAGGGAAAAAGCAAACGAACAATCGAAAATAAAAGAAAAAAAAGGGAGAAAAGCCAAAGACCCAGCGAATGAAGCGAAGGTCGCCCCCGGGCAAGACGGAAAGCCGGTCTGTGAAACAAGCGGCGGAGGGAAGTCAGACCGGGGGAGGAAGTCAGTCCGAGTCTGGCTGTCATTCGGTTCGCGTCTCGTGGTTTCGTCTCGGCACATTCTTCTACAGGTGACTGTTTTCTCTCATTCTGTCTTTTCTTAAGTAATATTCTCCACAAAAAGTGGCACGTCACGCGAGTCCATACGGGAGAGGAAAGCAGGCTTTTGTCAGGGTTCGTTCACTCGGGGTCGACAACTACCTCGTTTCCCCGGAGATGCCCATGTTAAATCCTCTCCGACCTTTCGTCGAGTAAACTTGGAAACCCGAAGAAACGTTGAAGGTCGAGTGGAAGGCACGAGACGGCCGTTCGACATCCCTTGCACCGTGTGGTCGCTCTTGCATTCGGTCTGTCGCGGTTGCTTGGGAAATTTTCTGCCATGTTGCGCAATGCTTAATTTCCTATTCGAAAGAGAATTAAGGATACTCCGCACGTAATCATATATACCAAATAATAAACAGGCACAGAATAAAAGATCAACTTCATCTAAAGTGTAATTTCCCATGTTTCCGGCATATTATATTCATGGCGAAATATGCGGATAGATTTTGAAAATGCCGAGAATAACTAAAGATTATTCAAGGAACAAGNGGGGGGGGGGGGGGGGGGGGGGGGGGAAGGAGCGTCCCCCCCCCACCCCCCGGGGATGCTGCCGGTTCTGAGCCGATGCAAGTCTAAAGCAGCGCCTTCTGGGACGTGCCATGGGCGATCCAGAAGCTTTAAAAGTGCTTCTGTAACTCCTTTATTCGTTGTCAGACGTCTCTTCCCGTGGGATTCTGTGATTGGGTATTGAAGGGCAAGGACAAAAGCCTCATCGACTTGTCGTTGTCCCTCAGAATTTTTTCGGCGCAGACGTCTTTGAACTCCGTTTCGGCAGGGGTTCATTCAGTTAACGAATCTAACCCTATTTCATCGTATTCGGAGCACTGACATTTCTCAAAGAGACGTTCCAGACGGCCTTCGAGTGGCACAATTATTCACGAAGGGCAAGGCCTTCCTCGGGGATGATCTCAAGGTCACGTTGCTTTCCTTCGTCAATGGCCGACCCGGTCGCGGGTCATCCCTGATGGCGGTCCCGCTATCTCGGCTGCTTCGGTCACTCGAACGTTAAGCGGTTTGGAGCGTCTGACGTGAGCCAGTAATATCGCCAAAAAGTATGCAAATAAATTTTCTTTATCATGTCTATCCAATTTTGGGAAAAAATTTGTACATCGGTGACACTGATCACTGTTAATGTACAGTTCCAACAAAAACCCTGAGCGGTGTTGGCAGGGAAAGAAGGCGTTCGCCTGAGCAGATCCCGAGCCCCAAGACAGTCTGACTCCTTGCTAGAACACGAATTCCATGAGTAGCTGTCTCACATGGATTTTGTGAGATTTTATCTTTTCTGCCCGGAGATATCCCACTAGTCAGGGTTTTTATTTTGTTCGAATGGTATATTAATGTATTATGTTAGCTCCCAAACGGGTCGGAGACCCCTGCGCTATGGGCCTCCAACTCTTTCTTTGTAAGCAGCATACAAGCTAGACTCGTGCAGTAAGACCTGTTGCATCGCATCGAAAGACGCCCATTCTCCAAGTCCGTAACTTCAGGTCGCTCGAGTCGCTTCTGTCTGACTCGAGGCGCAATCCATTCCTCGGTCAAGTTCGCTCGATTTGTAGCGCATGTGCACCAACAGGAACGAGCGGATCTTCGGAAGAACTCTTAAGAGCGTCCGAATAGGGAATGGATCGCATCCTCCACGATCGCTTTATTCTATAATTTTTTTTCACTGTCTCAGGCTTGGAGGCGACGCTGAGATGGTAGCGGGAGGAAAAGGCTCCGCGTCCAACGGAGTGATGGAGATTTCCGAGGGGCTGGAAGAGCGGGATACGTTCTTCCATCGCCTCTACCGAGGCATTCCTCTGGTTCAGACGCTTTGCGAGAAAGGCTACGAGATCCACAAGAAGGCGGAAGAGCGCCTGCCCGGTTACGCGTGGATCGTCTCGGGCCCCGTCCAGAATGCCGCCGCCTCCGTCTCGGGCAGACTCATGCACATTCCCAAAGTTGGAGAATACGGTCCGTCTACTTCTCGAGTCTAGCCGCCTCCATTGCATCTCATTGAATATATTCGTTTCTCCTTTTTTTTTTCTTTTTCAGTGGAGTTTGTGGACAGTACTGCTTGCGTGCTCCTTCAGGGGATCTTGGACAAGTATCCCACCTTGTCCCGCCCCCCATCCGAAGTAAGCGATAGTGTTGATACATGTTAACTTGCTTCTTAAACCTCAATTTTTCGATTTCAACATATTCTCTTCCCAAGACGGTTGAAAAAAAAGCTAGGTCTTCGTGTCTGAACATCTTGTCCTGTTAACCCCCCCCCCCCCCCCCCCCCCCCCCCCCCCCCCCCATTCCAAATGATGCAAATAACCCCCATTCTCGTTTTGGCAGCTGTACGAGGAGACGCGCGACTGCGCGAAGGACCGAATGGAGGATGCCTTGGGAATGCTGGCCCGGCCTTCGTTCACCCGCCGGGGCCTCAAGTGGATGGAGACCTGGATCGGCATCGTGGAGAAGGCCTGCATCGGTCTCGCCAACAAAACACAGCTTCAGGGTCAGTCGTGCTAAGTGAGCCTATGGTCGTAATGGATTTGGCACTGTCCTATTCGGCCCTTGCTAGGGTCTCAGAGGGGTCGAATGGAGGTCAGACGTGACAATGAATGGCGAGTGACTTCGGGTTCACATTACACCTCGCTTTAAATGGAATTCGTTAGAATAAGGCGAGTGGAGTCGGAGACAAGTTAGACTTTGATCCAGGCGTCGGGTCGCTTTCACCAGAAGCGCTGGTTGCCGTAACGTGCCTTTTTTTTATCATCTGCCATTCCCATAGGTACTATGGGGAAATGACAGATATTGCGATCGGTCTGTAACTTTTTCATTCCGTCTGTTCGCGGTATCCATGGCGACCGGACAACTCGACAGTGTCTATGTGCGGCTTTCCGCCTGGGTTGGGGTACCCGTCTTCCACTAAAACATCCACTTCTCTTCCAGCCCTCGCGGTTGACGGATCCATAGTAGACGATAGGGGAGAGCGGCTGCTCCCGGCCACGTAGACAGGGTTGTTAGGCGTACGCGTGAAATGCCGCATCTGGCATCCTACACTTCATGCTCTCCTACCATTACGCGACGCGCACGCGCGAACCATCTTGAACAAATCTAGTAATCGGGCATTTTCATATTGGCCTATGCCGTACCAATGACAGCTGTTATTTATTTCAAGGTTGGATGGTTAGGATGCGGTGAATATATAATAATTCCAGTGGTACTGGGGCCAGTGGAATGGCAGATCTGTATCGGGGCTGGTACTCGCTAGCTTTTTTTGTGCTCTCCTACGACTTCAGTAAAAGACAACCCCAATGATATTTTTGTCCTCAGATGAGGCGGGAGTTCCTGGGACGTGGACGACGTCCGCTCTATTCGCCGCGCTACGCCGACTCTCTCAACCTGCCCTTCTCTTCTACGTCCGTTGATCTTTCTCGTGTCGATGCATCGCGCGAACGGAGACCCCTGTCGACTTCCATTTCTCTTTGCAGTCTAAATGTCTGAAGATCGTGCGACGGAGAGTGAGGTCCGTGCGGCGGATGGGGAGGTCCTTGGCGGAGGCGGGCTTCGTGGAAGCCATTCCGGCCTCGGACCACGACCAGCGGAAGAAAGTCTGTTCCAGTTTTTTTTTTCTGATCTAATTCTAAATTCTAAAACTATTCATGTAAGGTGATGAAGGTTGGATTGGTGTTTGCTGCCGATCTTTCTTCTGACAAAAATGATTGCAATGTATTCAGTTGATAAGCTTTTAAACTTTAAAATATGCAATATTCGTCCAATGTCAACACAGATGCAATGTATTCTGTGCAAATAGTAAGTTTTCATGAATTATTGTGGTTGAATGAAGCATGAATGCCATAAAATCTGTTCTGATATTGCACACATTTCTTGAAGGGGAAACTAATATTTAATTTCAGACATAGAATCAATTTGTACTGCCTCTGGAGTTTTTGATTGGAAAAAAGTTACTTGTGGGATTTGAGTTTTGAGCAAGCAAAGCAGCATTGAATCCTCTCGGATTGCTCGAATTCCGCCCCCCCCCCCCCCTCCCAAAAAAAATTGAATACTACAAGCGATAAAATGTTTACGACGATGTGAACCTCAGCAACCAGTCCTTGAGGCATTTTCAAATTAATTAAAAAAAATTGGTCTATCCCAGCTGACGCCAAAGAAGCGACTGTCTGAAGGATCCTCACCGGCACGAAAGCTGCAGGAGACCCTCCTGGCCCCCTTCTACCTGCTGGGCCTGCGCTGCCGGGGAACGGGGAAGATCCCGATGGTGTCCTTCAAGAGCGTGGACACGGACGGATCCCCGAACCGACCGGACCTGGCAAACGTGGAGCGAAAGAGGAAACTGAAGACGTCGTCCTCGTCGGACGAGTGGGACGCTCGAGTTCTCTTGGAGCCCAAGCTTCTCGAAGAGGAAGGCCAAGCCCTCGATCCTGATTACATGGTCTGCTCTATTGCTTAAATTTTCCTGTTTTCGCTTGTTCATTTCGTTATCTATATTTTAAAAAATATATATATTCTTTTTTTCCCCCTTCTCGGGATTCAAGCGTCGTCTGTAACTTTAACTTAGTTCCAACTTCGTGTCAGAAATCTCTCGACGTTTTTCTTTGAGATTGCCCAGACCTTCAGACATTAGTTTTCTACGTTTTTCTCCTTTTCACCTTTTTTTTTCAATCTGATTGCAGCCGCCGGAGGAACTGAGCGACTCCACCGACTCGGATTCGGAGCTGGACGAGACCGACGAATCGGAAGAGGACGAGGAGGAAAAAGAAGAGGAGATGCTGGGGAGTGCCGATCACGATGGAGGTGAGGCCCCTGACCCCTCTGCCGAATAAAAATCGGTGAGCACGGCTGTGCGCCTCTCTTCGCCTTATCCGCCCGTCGAGGACAAAATGTTCAGCAGGAAATGGGTCTTTCGGTAGATGTCGGCGATGAATGTTTCGTGTTTTTCGGCTGAAAGATGCCTGCTATTACGGGTCTCGAAACTACGCGTAGGAAAGTGCATTAGGTACCGTCGCACCGCCGGCGTTTGCCCTTTTCATTTTGCAGGTTTTTGCGTTTTGTTCCCGTTTGCTTGTTACGTAGTAAAAATGCAGCTGCTTTTAGCTGCATTTTTATTGCGTAACGAGCTGGTTTTTCGACTGCTCTCGACAAGTCATTCCAAGACCAAGGTCCAGTCTCGTTCATTCCATATCGAGTTCACTTCCGAAGAAAAGCTAAAATGCGTGTCCAGAACTGAAGTGTCTCGTTTTCCCCCCCAGGAAGGAGCTGGGCAGTTGCGAACGTGGGGGTGGCGCTGCTCGCCGTGCTGGCCTTCTTCGTGGTCGTCTTCTCGCAGTCATCCCTGTATCTGCGCCTGGGCTGCTTTCCTCTCTAGGGGGCTCGTGCGTTCGGCTTGCATTTGATTTTCGTCCATTTTTTCCAGTTTTTAAATGCGCTTTTTATTTTTTTATTTTTTACATGCGAGGATATTTGTCCGAAGGGCATTTTATAAAATGTATTGTATCAAGGGTAAGAGATTGCGTAATTTTATAGAATAAAGTATTTTTATGCGCTTTATCTAACTTTGTTTGTGGTCGCCGTCGAAGTTACCCGGCGGTAACTGTCCTGGGTTTAATCATGTGAAGATCAACACAATAGCGTTTGGGTTCGATCGCTGTGCCAGTCGGGACAATTTGCCGCGGTTCGAAAATACGAATTTATTGTAATAGCCCGCCAAACCTGTTATTCCAGTGAAGCAGAGGACCATTAAGATTTATATCGGATACGTTAATGACGGCTATGATGCATGTAAAATGGATTCGAACGACAATTTTTTAAATGATGACATCAATCTTGTCATCCGAGGGCATCGTCCTTGTTTTGAATACTATCGATAGTAAAAAAAATTTCTTCAACTTCTGCTCCTTCCTGATTGGGAAATATTTTAACGAAGTCAGAGTATTGAGTGAAAACAATGAACCCCAGTTTGGGACGACAGTGAATTAAGGCTATTTTTAGGACAGCTTTTTTGTCCGAAAGCTAATCCCAGAGCAGGCTTAAGTCCATTCAAGGTTAATTAGAAAAATTGCCAGACTGCCTCACGGCTGAGCTTCAGTCTGCAATTGTCAAAAGCCTGATGAGATGATGCAAGACCAGTAGGTATTTTATTTCAAATTATTGCAAATCGTTATGGATACAATTTAAAGAATACCAGCAGGACTTTTAGTTGGGGCGGGGCGGGGCGGGGCTGAAGGAGCGGGCCCCCCAGTTGGATTCGGGATTTGTCGCTTTTTATTTTCTTGGTTCGAAGTTCCTCAAACGAAGCGAATTAATGTCCTTCCATGTTTGATCCTAAAAGGTGAATATGATAATTAATTTGATGCACCTCCTGCCTCTTCAGAGAAGTCGATGCGTCCAATTGGAATGTCCAACTTCGGTAAGGGAATGAGAATTCTTGCCAGGAGTTGGCCACGATTGTTCTCGCTTCCTCTGCAACTTATGAATCGGTTCTCAAAGTTTTGCAGGGGGGAGACCATCAGACATTATATATGAATTTCGTGGTTCAGACTTGATTGAATTCATTATATATCTGATACGAATCCTAATAAAGTCTGAGGAGAATTGAGCATGTTGGACGGAATAATATTATGCCCTGAACTCTTCATTATGGTCAATCATACTCTAATTACTTTCTTTCATAGAATTGAAGATCATCTGACTAAAAACCAGCTTCCATCTGATTTATTCGATAATACAAGTCTTCAATGATGCAAAATCCATGAAAGCATCAAGACTTGGTCAAGAAATGACTCTGCAAGATGAGAATTTTTTTTTGTATGAGCAAGCTCTCTACTAATTATTAATTAAACTATTAATGGTGTCCATATTCGCATTCACGTTTCTTCGTTCTCTCTTCCGGAGAAAAGCCAAAAGAGATGGCGGCAGAAATTTTCTTTTGGTGTCGACTGGATTGGTGGTGGTGAAATCCAGATGAAGAGATGAGAGATGCATCAGTACCTAGTCGTTGGTACTTCTAAGCCACTTTCGCTCGGAGTTCTCTCGTCGTTGTTCCAGCACTTTATTGCTTCTGTGATTTCTGTCTTGGAATTCAATTAACTGAATTTCAAGATGTGGAAGTTGGCCGAATTGTTCCCTTTTGTGTTGGAATATGAAAACGTGGAGCGGAAATTCTGTCATCTTTCAAGATGTGTTCATTTTATCAGATTTAGATGACGTCTTATGATTCGAGATCTTGTCTGAAAAATGCCTTGAAGGTGGTTCATGTCTTTGCAAAGATGCTTTCAGGACGTCCTCAAGATATGCTTGTGGTTAAAACCGACAAGCAGCTAGTGCATTGCATACTTACATATAATATGTTATATATAATATATAACAAATAAAAGTTGCATGCACTGAAACTCTCAAAGTTCTAAAGTCTCAGCATACCACTTTCTTTTAGGATCTTGGCGTGCAGAACTATTCCTGCTTTTATATTAAGATAAACAATCCTTCAAAGGATCCTTGTCTTCATTGTTTACTCACATCTCTTTCATCTCATCTCAATTGGGATTCTGTCAGGCAAATCTTTTTCTAATTTACACATTGAATATACAGGAGATTCCTTCATTGATGCTTGAATCAAATCTTAGCACTTGGGAATTGCTAAATTGACATAATGGCAAAATGATATTTTAAGTGAGTGAGATATCAACTGTTCCAATGAAGCCATATAATATATTGTACCTTGTTCATAGCAGTAAAATTTTTGGACGGTAAATCCAGATGGATGGTAAAGTTTTCCATCTGGATTATGTTGGATTTAATGTCCCGAGTTACAACTTTTCCGGTGGATTTTTTCAGCCATCCAGTATCGAAGTGTACATACCCGACGTTTTTCTGTCCGGCCTTCCACTGGAGGCCTTGAACGAGTAATTTTAATATTTAAGTGAAATACACTTTCAAACGGAACCGGGCCTCGAGGTTGCTGAAGTTCTCTATGCAACTTCTCCAAAACGACTTTTCTCGTGTAACATCCTTTTCACACCCCAGGCAGGTCCGGCCCTAGCTATTTCAGCGCCCTGTGCTAAGAGACTCCTCCCCCCCCACCCCCACCCCCCCACCCCCCACTCAGGGAGAAGGGTCGCCGAAACGGAGGGCATTTCCAGGTTCTGACTAAAGCTGAGAGGGGTATCCATTATTTCTTCTTACGTTCTGTCAGGTTTTTGGCGCCCTGGTGAATTTGCGCCCTGTGCACATGCCTAAGGCCGGCCCTGATGCCAGGTGTCTCTTCGCATCTGCATGTTCCTATGTGAGGAAACGGAAACTTCTCCCGTGTGATCGGAGAATGTTTTCCTCCCTCGAATAACTCGACGACGCCTCGACTTGCGCAATGTAGTCGTGTGAAACATTTCTCGAGCAGAATATATAAAATGGTAATGGTGAAGATATAAATGCAGAATTATGTGAGCATAAAATGGTGCACGCATGAATAGGCTAAGCTGGGGGGGGGGGATTACCCAAAGCTGGATTATTTATTCAAATTCGTTCGATATCTCACGAGATTAGACCCTCTCGTTCGATCCAGAGTGATGTATCTATTTATTCCTCTTGTGCTGAGCCTGGACGGATCTCGCTCTCGGGAATTTTTTGCTTTTTTTTCGTGCGAGCCTGGAAGGAATGCTTGGGTGACCGAGAATCTGGCGGCCGTGTGAAAATGTCGCCGTTGAGTCAACGGTGACCGCTGTTCGACTCCTGTTGAACGGATGGTGAAAACCGGTGATTCAACAATGAATTGCCGCCGACTTGTTGGTTTCAATTTCAGCATCTTGCGCAATTTTTAAATGTAAATTAATTTTTTTATTTTTAAAGCGAGAAACCGAGATTGGATGGATCTTATGCGCGTTTGTAAGGCGAGGATTAGGATTACATCAGGATCAAGAAGAAAGCACGGACTTTCACGACGCTTCTGCCGAGTCCGCACAATTAAATCCGCGAGATTCGCGAGACAATGCGTTTTTGATAATAGGCGTGTTTCGCTTAAACCTGAGCATACAGCTACGACATTTTTAATGGGATTTTTTTTTTAAACCGTAGGTTGTGCGATATTTGGCGTATCTCACTTAAATATGACCAAGCAACTGAAAAATGTATATTTATGGACAGACTAGTCTATACTTTTTTGAAATTGTGTTTTTAAATTTAAGTAAAGCCATTTTCGAGTTTGGCTCGTTTCCCTAACTGAACACGTCTCACTTTATCGCTGCCCGGAAGAAGAGCTTGGCAGGATTTTGATCGAGTCGGCAGATAAGAATCGATCGATTTTTGATCGAGTCGGCAGATAAGAAACCAGCCGGTTGAGGACATTTTATCGGTGGAATGATCGGTCTAGGGAATCGGCGCGGAATATTTCCGAAAGTCCGTTTTTAAGAAGTAAAAAGCCCACGCATGACCACATTTGGCATACTGCATGAAGTCATTATTCGTACTGCCACGAGATACCGAAAGCCTCATCAAACCCGAAGAAAGAAGCAACCGCGAAGGCAGCATTACGAGCCGAGGGAAAACCGGATCTCGACGGATTTTTTGTGCGAGTTGGCAGGCGCAGGCGTCCTTCAATCGGGCTCATTCCAGTTCCACACGCAGGTCCTGCGTTTTGTGAAAACCCTTGAATGTAAGTGGACTCGCGTGCGTCTGCCTGCCCGCCCCAGCGTTGACGCAAAGGACGCACGCCTGGGGTAACCGTATGTCCGGTTTTTTCCCGGACGCGTCCTCTTTCTTCGCTTTCCGTCCGGGAGGATGGCGTTCCGTATGAGTTATATTATATTTGTCTATATTTTCCCTGGACATATCCTCCTTTCTCGCCTTCAAATTTCGGTTCCACTGCCAAGCGGCACCCGTTTTGGCCGCCCGAAATACGGTAACCCTACGCATGACACGCAAACCGACCTTAAGCCAACCTCTGCAATGGCCCAAAGGCCCTGGCGCGAGCTTACCATTCATTGCTCGGGGTGTAAGAGCGTTTCAAGGTTGGGATCCCGTATTCTCGTTCACGTGTTCCATCTCCTCCACACAGGGTCGTGCTAGGGCTCGCCAGGCTCTACCTCTTTAGGTGGTGACTTAGGGTTGCCACCCGTTCATAGTTATTATGGGCAGTACGTATTTCAAATACTGCAAGCTGGTCTGAATATGGACACTGTTTTGTAAATATTTTTTAAATTTAAATATTTCTTCAGTTAATGCTTAATAGCAGCTAAAACCACTATTTTCCGCTGGTCAAAAGTAGTAGGCTACCCTTATAGTATCGGCTTGGCTTTAGATGCCTGATGGTACTTGCAGCATAGTCACAAACACAAGTCTACTTCGAATATTTGTCTATATTTCCATACGTACGTAGTCGATAGGCAATGTGTCCATATTTTGTTAAATTCAAAGGTGGTAATCCTAGGCGGTGAGCACTATTCCTTTGCGACTGATTCTTAAACAGTTTCTTTGAAGGTGCAGTGGAGGACATTTCCGAATACGGGGGTCAGTGGCGTAGCGTGATTGGCATGGGCAAGGAATGAAACGTGGCCCGC